GTAATGTATAAATGAATAAATTAAGGGTGAATATCATTTTATTACTATAATATATCAATATAGAGCGTTATCCATTTCGTGGTTTCAAAAGAAAACGTAAATAAAACAAATATAAAATATGTTTTTATGATATATCGAAAAGAGAAAGTTTCCTTTATTTGGTGGGGTATGTCAGAACATGGATCTACATATACATGAGTTGGTTTAGGATCTAATACAAATTTTGGTTATATATTTTATCGTCGTTATCAAGCAAATCATACCCATATCTTAATATAATAAAAATTGGACTTAAGCCACTTTCAAAATAAACGACTGATATATTGAAATTATCATTTAAGGGGATCCCCCACAATCGATTTGAAATTTGGACGATTTTCAACCGGCTGGCAAGTGAGCATAGGTAATGTTGAAGATCTGTAACTTTGCATACACGCATTTGAAGCCTTAAAAAAGGCTTCAAATGCTATATCTAAACCTGAACCGATTTTTAAGAAACTTAGCCCAAATCAGTCTAGACTCAATTCAGTGCGCTATGACAAATTTCGTGGAAATCGAAAGAAATATTGGAACTTTGGTGGGCAATTTACATAAAATCGGACGAATTTATATATGGGAGCTATATTTAAATCCCGACCGATTTGCACGGAACTTAGTACACGTCATTTAAGAATCAATTCAATACGCTATGCCAAATTTCGTGCAAATTTGTAGAATATAGGGGCTTTGGTACACTATATACATAAAATCGGAAGAAACTTTATATGGGAGCTAAATCTAAATCTGAACCGATTTTAAGAAAACTTAACTTACAACATTCTAGACTCAATTCAGTACGCTGTGTTAAATTTCGTACAAATTGAAAGATATATAGAGACTTTGGAGCACCATTTACCTTAAATCGGACGGAAATATATATGGGAGCTATATCTAAACCAACCAATTTTCACGAAACTGAACCAATTTTCACGAAACTTATCACACGTCATTCTAGACTTAATTCATTACGCTATGCCAAAGTTCGTGGAAATCGAAAGATATTTAGGGAATTTGGTGCACCATTTACATAAAATAGGACGAAAAAATATATACGAGCTATATCTAAATCTGAACCGATTCCCTCCAATTTCAATAGTGTTCGTCCTTTGGTCATATAAATGAGCTGTACCAAATTTCATCCAATTTGGATCAAAAATGCGACCTGTACTTTGTTTACAATTTAACATCAACAGACGGATGGACATGCATAAATCGATTCATGGGTCTATCTCGATTCACTTTGCCTGTTACAAAGACATAATACCCTGTACCGCAGTCTGGTAAAGGATATAAAAAGGGGAGTACCCCTAAAAGGGGGTAAATTTTTCGGAAGGGGATTTGTTACCATATACGACTACAGAATACCAAATTAAAACCAGTAAGGAAAGTAGTAAAGTCGGGCTGGGCCGACTATATGATACCCTTCACCACTTTGGGTATATTCTACATATGTATCCAGCTTAGCAACATCATTTTAGACATAATACAGTACTTCAGTAGTGTTGGCGGTTTATTTGGGATACCATTTGTATTTTGTTTTTATAAAAAAGAACTAGTTATTAGTGAGGAATGTATGGCATTGATTGCCTCTTGTAACAACGCGAAGTACTTAGCTGACCAACGTACCCTGTACCAAAATTCGTGCAAATCGAAAAATATATAGGGACTTTGGTGCACCAATTACATAAAATCGGACGAAAATATATATGGGAGCTATATCTAAATCTGAACCGATGTTCACGAAACTTTGCAACATTATCTAGACTTAATTCAGTACGCTATGCCAAAATTCGTGCAAATGAAAAGATTTCCAGGGACTTTGGTGCACCAATTACCTACAATCGGGCGAAAATATATGGGAGCTATATCTAAATCTGAACCGATTTTCATGAAACTTAGCACAAATTATTGACTCAAATGTCAGTACGCTATGCCAAATTTCGTGCAAATCGAAAGATATATAGGGACTTTGGTGCACCAATTACCTTAAATCGGATGAAAATATATATGCGAGCTATATCTAAATCTGAACCGATTGTCACGAAACTTTGCACACATCATTCTAGACTTAATTCAGTACGATTTACCAAAAGATTTCCAGGGACTTTAGTGGACTATTTACCTAAAATCGGGCGAAGCTATATATGGGAGCTAAATCTAAATTTGTACTGATTGCCACGAAACTTTGCACACATCATTCTAAACTTAATTTAGTACGCTATGCCAAATTTCGTGCAAATCGAAAGATATATAGGGACTTTTGTACACAATTTACCTTAAATAGGACGAAGATATATATGGGAGCTATATCTAAATCTGAACCGATTTTCACGAAACTTGGCATACATCATTCTAGACCTTATTCATTACGCTGTGCCAAATTTCGTTCAAATCGAAAGATATATAGGGGCTTTGGTACACAATTTACCTTAAATCGGACGAAGATATATATGGGAGCTATATCTAAATCTTAACCGATTTTCACGAAACTTTGCATACATCATTCTAGTCCTTATTCATTACGCTGTGCCAAATTTCGTGCAAATCGAAAGATATATAGGGGCTTTGGTACACAATTTACCTTAAATCGGACGAAGATATATATGGGAGCTATATCTAAATCTGAACCGATTTTTATGAAATTTTACACACATCATTCTAGACCTAATTCATTACGCTGTGCCAATTTTCGTGCAAATCGAAAGGTATATAGGGACTTTGGTACACCATTTACCTTAAATCGGACGAAGATATATATGGGAGCTATATAAATCTGAACCGATTTTCACGAAACTTGGCATACATCAGTCTAGACCTTATTCATTACGCTGTGCCAAATTTCGTGCAAATCGAAAGATATATAGGGACTTTGGTACACAATTTACCTTAAATCGGACGAAGATATGTATGGGAGCTATATCTAAATCTGAACCGATTTTTATGAAATTTTACACACATCATTCTAGACCTAATTCATTACGCTGTGCCAATTTTCGTGCAAATCGAAAGATATATAGGGACCGTTTACATTAAATCGGACGAAAATATATATGGGAGCTATATCTAAATCTGAACCGATTTTTCCCAATTTCAATAGGGTTCGTCCTTGGGCCAAACAAATGAGCTGTGCCAAATTCCATCCAATTCGGATCATAAATGCGACCTGTACTTTGTTTACAATTTTACATCTACAGACGGACAGACGGACAGACGGACAGACGGACGGACGGACGGACATGCATAAATCGACTCAGAAAGTGATTCTATGCATATTCTCAAAAGGAACCATGGGTCTATCTCGATTATTTTTGCCTGTTACAAACATATGCACAAAGACATAATACCCTGTACCACAGTGTGGTGAAGGGTATAAAGAATTTGGTTGGAAAACGCGCTTAAGAACCCCAAAATGGGGGGTACCCTTATATGAGGACTACCCGAAAAAATGACGTAAATTTATAATTTTTAGTGGAGAGATTTGCTACCCAATAAGAACTCAATGTACTAAATTACAGCGAATTCGGGCGACAAATGCTATCACAACCCCAAAATTACTGAAAGGCAGGGGGTTCCGTTATATGGGGTCTATCAGAAAAAGTGGACCTATATTTAAAATGTTTGGTTGAGAAATTTGGTACCCAATAAGAACCAGATGTTCCAAATATCAGCGAATTCGGTTGAAAAACTCGAAAATACCGAAAATTGGGGGGTACCCTTATAAGGGAGCTATGTCTAAACGTGAACCGATATAGCCCTTCTTCGAACTTGACCTGGTCAAGGTCACCTGGATTTCTCCAGATCAAGAGAAATCAAATTGATCATGTTGTGATAGACGGAAGGAGCGAATATCGATTTGGACCATTACCTTGTGGCAGCCAAGGTTCACACCCGTCTTTATGTAGCAGCAAAGGTGCGATCTAATGTAACATCGAAACTCGACGACGAAAGGCTGCAAACACAACAGCGGAGGCCTAATCCACCCAACTTACCCACTTGCTTGGCGAAAGCACTTCTTGTTGCCATAATAATATAGAAGCACCATGGTGAAAAATTGTCACTCCCTACAAACTGCAGCCAAAAACAACACTTGGGTACCAAAAACCACCATCAAGAAACCCATGGTACGATCAGGAGTGTCGTAATGCTACCGATGTGAAAAACGCAGCGTATAGGGCAACAGACAGTAGCAAAATGCAGTGCGATGGAGAATTGTCGGGAAAGACGAGAAATGTATTTTCAGAAAAAAAGAAAAACTTAAGGGGGACAAATCGAGATGTACAGGAGTCAAAACGGAGTCCGGAAATGTTACCAGCGAGTAAAACACCAAAGTCAAATCTTTGGTGCCGGCACATCCTCCTGTAGAGTTGAAGATAAAAAATTGGTGACGGATTCGTATAGGATGTTGAGAATCTGGAAGGAGTATTTTGAAAAAGCTTTTGGTACCAAAGCCATGCGTTTGGTATTCCTGCAAAATTAATACGCCTATGCAGGATAACTTTAACTGGTACAAGGTCAGCAGTTAACCAGCGAGGAACCTCATTTTGTAACCATTTTTGTGCAATGCGCGTGCTGAGTGCGATGGTGCTGAGTCCTTTTGGAAGTTCCAAGGTCTGCGGCCGAGCGGATAGCGACCATCGGCTGTTATGGTGGTCCACACTATCACCATGGCCGGTGCTTGAGTTCCCGTGGCCAACCGAAGATGCACATTTTAAGCTGACCTCTTTGGCAAGTAAACACGATCATATTATTTGTTTAGCAAGTTAGCAGGTTCCAAAGGCACACACGTATATATTTGCATATTTTCCCTCACTACATGCCATTTACAATAATTAAATAATCTCCATTTATATAACATATATATATATATATGTTTTCATACATTTATATATTTTATTTATCAATTCAAATGCACATTAATTATTTTTTATTTCATTAAAATTTCAAAATTTCGCCTTCAGACCTTAGAGACAATAACTTAACAATTCATTCATGGTGCAACCCTTGCGGCAGCACTCATCATAGACACCATTCAAATGTCGCATGCGGCGAGTTTTGGCCAAGACATTATCACGATCACTGTAGAACATTTCATTCAATAGGGAATCCGAAGCGAAGGGACTCACATCGCCGATTTCATTGAAAATGTCCAAATCATTGGTTACTAAAAAACCGAAACCGAATTTTATATTTATGTCTGATCATTCAAATTCTCCATACTTACATTCCTTTTTACCCGATTTTTTAGTGATTTGCATTCCATTGAAACCATTTGTACATACGGCGTCGAGAATTTGATACAGATTTGGTCCACAGTAACGAGTGGCGGCCGAATGGATCTCGTAGAGGGCAGCAAAGAATACAATAACGCTTAAGAGTTTCATTTTGTTGACGTTTCGGTTTAAAAAATTTTAAGCTTTAGATCCGGAAAATCTTCAGTAGTTGTTATATCTTCAACGACTTTGGTGGATGTGTGTCTTATTGCTCTGCATAGACGTTTATTTATACTTAAGGATTAATTCTTCGGATTATGTATTTGTTTTCCTTACACCTATTCATGTGTCCCATATAATCTGTTTATTCATATATTATCTAGGTTAAAATATGGATAATCATATGTAAATTTATAACTACGCTATAAATATGTTATGTTATGCACATTCATAAAAAAGCATCCACCAATAATATGTAGGACTTTATTTGTGTCGTTCGTCCGTCCTCATTAATCAGGATAAAGAAAATATTCTTATATTACATACGCAATTAAATATTGCTAAAGAGGTGTTGAAATATTTCATATGCATATTCATTAGAAAAATCCTTTGGAAAAATATTTCAAGAAAATAACAAATCTACCCTATGTGATGTCACTTTAATTTATGCCCATTCTCGAAGATAGGGAGATAATATTTAAAATAAATCGTTACGTAATTCAAACAAGTAAACATGTTAAATTATGCCGAACAAAATATTTAATACCCATGAGGTTGGTACTCAAAATACCAGAAATTGGTCAGAACCCTTTTTTTATCCTCTAAGAAAATTAAAACAAGTGAAAAAGCGGTAATTTCGGCCGGGCCGAACTTTGGATACCCTCCACCATAGATATATTGACAGGTACTAGAAATGAAAATATAGGAAACATACCAAAAAGTGGACCTATACCGACATTTCTAAAAACGGATTATGTAAACCATAATACAAATTTTAGAAAATTTTAAAGGATAATTATACCCTCAGCCTTATGGCTAATGAGGGTGTATACACTTTAATACGGTGAAAATGTGCCTCATCGAAATATTGGTTCTAGACCCCATGTTTCTTTGGACCAAATCCGTTTCAGAAAATTTAGATTTCATCCGAACTTTGCCCATCTTATTATTTCTTCCAAGCTTAGTTCAAATTCTGGAACTTCCAATTAGGGGCTAGGTCTAAATGCGGCTATAGTTCATTATCGAACCTTACGTTCTAATTGTTTATCTCTCTATCCTCCGCAGGTGAAATGATTACAAACGAGTCTTAGAACCAAACTCAAAACGCGGAACAAATCAGATAACTATTTTAATATAAAAAAGGGGGTTATATGGGGACTACCCCAAAAAGGGGGCGAATATTAATAATTTTTGGTAGAGAGATTTGTTACCATATACGACTACAAATTACCAAATTGCAGCAAATTCGGTTGAAAAATGCGCTCAAGAACCCCCAAATACCGAAAATTGGGGGTACCCTTATATGGGGGCTATCCGAAAAAATGGATCTTTATTCATAATTTTTTGTGGAGAGATTTGGAACCTATTAAGAACCCAATGTACCAAATTTCAGCGTATTCGGTTGAAAAACGCGCTCAAGAACCCAAAAATACCGAACATTGGGGGGTACCCTTATATTAGGGATATCTGAAAAAATTCACCTATATTTATAATTTTTTGTGGAGAGATTTGGTACCTATTAAGAACTCGAAATACTAAATTACAGCCAATTCGGTGGAAAAATACGATCAAAACCCCCAAAATACTGAAAATTGGGATGTACCATTATATGGGGGCTACCATAAAAAGTGGACCTATATTTATAATTTTTTGTGGGGACATTAAGTACCCAATAACAACCCAATGTACCAAATTTCAGCGTATTCGGTTGAAAAACGCGCCCAAGAACCCCAAAATACCGAAAATTGGGGGTACTGTTATATGGGAGCAATGTCTAAACGTGGACCGATATATCCCATCTTCGAACTTGACCTGCCTGCAGACAAAAGACAACCCTATGCAAAATCTGAGCATCCTATCTCAATTCCTTCAGAAGATAGCGTGATTACAACAGACGGACGGACGGACGGACATGGCTAGATCGTCTTAGAATTTTACCCTGATCAAGAATATATATACATTAAAGGGTCGGAAATGAATATTTCGATGAGTTACAAACGGAATGAAAAAATTAATATACCCTCCATACTATGGTGGAGGGTATACAAAAATTACTGACACAAAAGTTATTAAATTCGATGTGAAGCGTTGAATTGCTAAAGATGAGGCGGGACTATTATAAGGCGGCTATGTCAAAACATGGACATACTTTGAACAATTTTTTCCAAGGCAGAAAAATGTCTACTTTTGCCACTCTGAAAAATTCTAAGTCAACCGTACAATCAAAGATATTTGGTGTACCATATACAAAAACCGATGTAAATCAGTAAGGAGGGGGAGGAGCTATATCGAAATCTGAACCGTTTTTTACGAAACTTAACACACATCATTTTATACTTAATTCAGTACGCTATGTCAAATTTCGTGGAAATCGAAAGATATATAAGGACTTTGGTGCATCATTTAAATTAAATCGAACGAAAATATATATGACAGCTATATATAAATTGGAACCGATTTTCAGGAAACTTAACACACAGCATTCTAGACCTAATTCAGTACGTTATGCCAAATTTCGTGGAAATCGAAAGATATATAGGGACTTTGGTAAACCATTTACATTAAATCCGACGGAAATATATACAGGAGCTACATCTAAATCGATTTTCACGAAACTTAACACACATCATTCTAGACTTAATTCAGTAAGCTATGCCAAATTTTTTTGCAAATCGAAGGATGTATAGGAACATTGGTGCACCATTTACATTAAATCGGTCCAAAATATATAGGAGAGCTATATCCAAATCTGAACCGATTTTCACAAAACTTAGCACACATCATTATATCATTTGTTTAGTACGCTGCGCCAAATTTCGTGCAAATCGAAGGATATATAGGGACATTGGTGCACCATTTAAATTAAATCGGAAAAAAATGTAAGGGAGATATATCTAAATCTGAACCGATTTTCACTAATCTTAGCACACCTCATTATATCATTTGTTTAGTACGCTGCGCCAAATTTCGTGTAAATCGAAAGATACATTACATTAAATCGGACAAAAATATATATGGGAGCTATATCTAAATCTAAACCGATTTTCACAAAACTTAGCACACATTTTTCTACGCTTAATTCATTACGCTGTGCCAAATTTCGTGTAAATCGAAAGCTATATGGGAACTTTGGTGCACCATTTACATTAAATCGGACGAAAATATATATGGGGGCTATAACTAAATCTGAAACAATTTTTTTGCAATTTCAATAGGGTTTGTTCTTGGGCCAAATAAACGAGCTGTGCCAACTTTCATCCAATTCGGATTATAAATGCGACCTGTACTTTGCTTACAATTTAACACCAACAGACGGACGGACGGACATGCATAAATCGACTCAAAAAGTGATTCTATGCATATTCTGAAAAGGAACCATGTGTCTATCTGTTACAAACATATGCACTAATACATAATACCCTGTACCACAATGTGGTAAAGGGTATAAAAACCTCAACACACATCATTCAAGATCCAATTCAAAACTCTATGCAAAATGTTGTTGTCAAATTTTTCTTCACAATCGGACACACATTGACACACATCACAATCAGAACCGATTTTTACCTATTTTAATTTGGTTCGTTCATGGGCCAATTGAATGACTTATCCTAAATCTCATCTCACTCGAATCATACATATGATCGGTTCTTTGTTGACAATAATACTTGTACAAACAATAAAAATAAACTTAAAATAAAGTAAAGAAAAAAACATATTGAGTTCCTTGTATGTCATTTAAGGGGACTCCCCATTTTCGATTTAAAAAAAATTAAATTTGTTTTTTACCTAATTCGAAATTTCAAAGAACTTTTATAACGTCTTTATACGATTTTAAATTTTTCGTTGACTTGGTTCTCATATAACTTCTTCATTGTTTGGGGTACCTTGCAGCACAGCATACGTTTCCTATTGCATATTTTTAGGCGCCCAGTATTTATTATGCCGCTTTTTTAATATGATCATCGTTTTTCAAAGGTTGTGCAATCCTTTACAATTTTCTAATTGAAATTAAAGATAGTAAGGAAAGTACCAGCAAGTACCGGTTGGGTATATAAAAAAATAGTTCCTAAAAATCGTATTGAAACCAGTAAGGAAAGTAGTTAAGTCGGACGGGGCCGACTATATGATACCCTTCACTACTATGAGTATATGAAACAGATAAATCATTAAGGGGACCCCCCATTCTCGGGGTCAAAATTTTTGTTGATATAATTCGAATCTCCACTGATTAAAGAATGTCTCTACAAAATTTCAAGTGAAAATCTCAAGAACTCTTGAAGATATAGAAGATTTATTGTGTCAGCATCAAGTGACGGCTGAAGGGTTCCTCAAACTTTAAACGCGTTTTTCTCTAAACATTTTTTTGCGAATGGCGGGCACGATAACTCAAAAACTAATAATCCTATCGGTTTTTTGCAACGTTTCTCTGGGAGTATATAGCTCTCGTATGAACTAGGATAAAGCCAATCGGTGAAGATCTTCCTTATTTTTTAACTTGGTTTTTGTAAAAAATCGGCGATTTTCCAAAAATATTTTTTCAAAGGTCCACCATTTTGTTAATTTTAGAGCGACGTCAATAATCCTAGTTCATACGAGAGCCAAACATCGTGAAAGGGGGGGGTTCCCTTAAGATGATTTTGGATGATCTAAAATATGTGATCTTGATCTGTCATTCGTTTATTACAAAGGGACCAAATTATGTGAATCGATTTAAGGGGACCTCCCCCATTCTCAATTTTAAATTTTCATTGGGCTGTTAAATGAATACCAATGCATGTTAAGGTTTGTAACTTTACACAAAAGAGAAGAAAAATAATGTTGTTGTTGGTGATTACAGAAAAGTCCTTATTTATAATGGCGGGCATGATAACTCCTCACTGGAACATCGGACTCCAGAAATTCCAACGGTTTTAGAAAGAGTACATGTCTGGCTTTCGTATGATTATTGACTTCGCTCAAAAATTAAATTGTTTTGAAAATTTGCCTATTTTTGACCACAAACTAAGTTAAAAAATAAGGAAGTTCTTCACCGATTGGTTTTATTCTAGTTCATACGATAGTTATACACTCCCAGAGAAACGTGTCAAAATTTGGAACCGATCGGTTTATTAGTATTTGAGTTACGTGCCCGCCATTCGTAAAATCATGGCTTCGAGAAAAATTCGTTAATAGTTTGAGAATCACTCTTGCGTCACATGATGCTGACACAATAAATCGACTATATCTTCAAGAGTTAGGGATATTCTTGAATTAGTGTAAATTCAGAAAACTAAATTAAATCAATCGTTCACACGTTTAATATTTGGAGCCCATTAACACGAAGTCGGTCGGAAATATATATGGGCTATGTCTGTACTTCAAAAAATGCAATTACATCATTTTATGCTAAATTTTGTTCGTTGTGCAAAATTTCATGTCAATCTGACAATCATGAGGAGTTTGGTGTACCATTTACTTAAAATCGGACCAAAATATATACATATATGGAAGCTATACCCAAACATAAACCGATTCCAACAAAGCTTTGCACACATCAATCAGTACCTAATTCAGTACGCTATGCAAAATGTTGCCTCAATCAGATAAACATTAGAAGTATGTTGTTCCATTTGCATAAAATCAGACGAAACTATATATGGGAGCTATATTAAAATATGAACCGATTGCAACAAAACCTCACAGACGTCAAACAGTAGTAACATCAATACGCTGTGCAAAATGTTGTCTCAATCGGACAAACATTGACAGTATGGTGCTCCATTTACATAAAATCGGACTAAACTTTATACGGGAGCTATATCTAAATCTGAACCTTATTTACTTATTTAGCTGGCTTGTTACATAACGGTTGTTCTATAAGTCCAGCTTAAAAAAGATTTCCAAGCGTGTCGGTATTGTGCGCATCTACTTGATATTTCCATTCGTGGTCGTTTTTATATGCCTTTTGAGCTTGGGGCATTCTCATCCATTCTCACAACATTACCTATCCATAGCAGTCGCTGCGGCTATGTCAATGTCCGCGTATATATTGTAAAACTCGTTGTTCATTCGACGCCTATATTCACCGCAAATCGAATCGTAGATCTTTCGGAGAATTTTCCTCTCAAACACCCCAAGAACTGCCACATCTGCTTGCGCAAGTAAGTGCAAAGTGTGAATTTGGTCTTACTTATAGCATTGTAGCATCTGTTTGCCAACACTATTCTTCTCCGAATTTCAAAACTGATGTCATTAGTGTTATTTTTGATGGTACCAAGGTATATAAAATCTTTAATTATCTCGAAGCTGTAGTTCTCAAGTTCCACAGTTGGTCCGAGTATAATGGATGTCTTGCACGTTGATATCATCGAATCTAAACCAATTCCAACAAAACTTCGCAAAAATTTTGTCTCAATCGGGCAAACATTGGTGCAGTATGGTGCTCCATTTGCATAAAACCCGACGAACCTATATAACAGAGCTATATCTAAATCTGAACCAATTATTCCAATTTCAATAGGGTTTGTTTTTGGGCTAAACAAGTAGCCTGTGCCAAATTTCATCCGTACGTTGCTCACAAAAATACATGGACTGACGGACATGCATAAATCTACTCTGAATGTGATTCCATGCATATGCTCAAAAGGAACTGTGTATATATATATATATTTGAGAAGTGATACAAGGTACTACGGTCCATATATATATATATTACTCTTCACTAAATAAATAATAATCTCATTTCAAATTAATAAACATAAATTTAGAAACATTTATTTATTTACAAATTATTATTATTTTAATAAATAACATCGTCACAAGAAAAAAAATAAGTAGAACTTTCAAAAAAAGAGGCAGTCAATATTCATGTATGGAACACATATTTTTTTTATTCCTAAGGATCTTCAGGTGAAATAGATACTGTCATACGCTTAAGTCCTCTAAAGATGGTTAAATCCAATGTTTTTGAATTGTCAGCCAGTACTTCATAGACATCGGAGGAGGTTTTAATTTCTTTGCCATTAATGTGCGTTACAATGTCACCGGGATTAAGGCCACCACTGGGGAAAAAAGAAAAGAAAAAATAAATTACAGATTCAATACAAAATGGAAAATATACACTTACATATGGGCCGGTGAACCTAAAATAACTTTCCACACCAAAACACCATGCGTTAAATTAGGTGGTACACTATCGGATCGTGATTTCAGCTCATTTAAGATATCATAGGTCAGTGTTAACATGGTTATGCCCATATAACGTTTAGCCGGATAGGTTTGTTTACCACCTGAACCTTTTTTCCTACGTTCCGCTACCTTAGCTAGGAACAGCTTAACATAGTCAATGGGTATGGCAAAACTAATGCCGGCAGTTACTTTCATTGAATTGACACCAATAGCTTCTCCGTCCAAATTAACCAAAGGACCGCCACTGTTGCCGAATGTAATGGCCGCATCTGTTTGTAAATAATTGATATCACGATTACCCAAACCCAATTCCTGTGAAGGTCTCTGTGTGGAACTAATGACACCGGCAGTCACTGTGTTACTTAATGCCAGAGGACTTCCTAAGGCCACAACCCATTCACCGGAACGTAAACTGGAACTTTCTCCCAATTTCATAACGGGTAGATTTTTACAATTGATGCGTATAATTGCTAAATCGGAGGTTTGATCGACATCTTCCACAATGGCTGGGAAAACACGTCCATCATGTAAACGAACCTGGACCATGGTATGGGGTTTATTGATAACAACATGGGCATTGGTGAGAATGGTACCATCCGATTCAATAATGAAACCTGAACCATTGGAAGCTGTTACCGGCTTGCCCGTAAAGTAATCGAAGTGTCGAGTGTCTTTGATTTCAATGTACACCACAGATTCAGCACAAACATCCACCACATCGGCAATGAAATTAAATTGCTTGCGCCTGCCACTCAAATTGGGTAAGGTTTTTGCTTCCACCATAGGCCACAGTCGATGTTCGTTTTTAATGTAGGCTAATCCACCCAAGGCAATAGCTGCACAACCGGCTGTCAGCAATGAGCTACTCCATGACCACAATGGTTTTTCATGTTGTTGTCTTTTCTCACCTCGTTGGCCATTAAAATTGGCATTGTTTCTTTTGGAATATTCATGATTATGGGATGATAATATGACTTGTAACGTTTTGCTTTGTATCCTTCTAGCAGTTAATTGAAATCTTTGTAAATATTGTAAAGCCATTTGCCGCAAAATATTTGTGTTAGGTAAAAAAAACTTAAATTATGACAGTATCCAAAATACAAAGTCAGAAATGCTTAGTACTAACGCCGTAAAATAGAAGTAAATAGAAAAAGAAAATCAAAACAAAATAAGTGGAACGTCACAGCTGTTTAGATACATACATATGATAAATTAATCGATATATCGATAATTTATGATTTCAATTAGAAACGGCAACCGATATTTAAATATACATTTCAAAAAATGTATGGTCTATTCCCGTACTGCAAAAATCTACAATAAATTGTAAAATTAGTAGATTCTTGCTGTACAGGAACACACCAATCATCATATCACCGGAGACCCCATAAAGTATATATTAGAATAAAATTCTAGGTAGATTTATGCGGTACCCATGGTACAATAATACAAAGTAGGGCAGGTTGAGTTGAATAACAAAAAAGCAAATATGTAGGTGGTGGCTTCTTCTGCCAAAATATAAAATAAATATACACAATTTAAGGATGGGGTTTCAACAAAATCAGCTTTAAATTGGTATTTTGGATTCACTTCGGGTTCCATGGCCCATGTTTCGAGGTAGACCCCATATAACGGTATCCCCTAATATTCGGTATTTTTTATTGGGTTTGTGGCACATGTTTCTACCTAATTGACTATAATTTGTTATTTTGGGTTGGGGAATGGTAATAAATCTTCGCACTAGAAATAATCAATACTATAGTACGTTTACATTTAACCGGATTTCGTTATCCCAGAGGATTTCAATTGTCCATTTCTTTGCATATATGTCAAATAAATCCTCATAAAGGTTAACCCGGTAAAATATTCTAATGTATATGCCGTTTTAGTACCCCTTTTAGGGAAGACATCATATAACGCAAAGATCGGTATATTTCAGACAATCCGAGAGCAATTTAATATTGTGGGTTCTCATTGAGTATAAAATGTCCATATGAACATTAACGACCCCCGCAAATGTACAAAGAAACACGATCTGCGAATCTGCAATGTGGAATGTGCGCACGTTGTACAGAACAGGTGCAGGGTTTTCGCCTTGGCGGATGTACTCAAGAAGTACAAAGCCGATATTATTGCCTTATAGGAAATGCGATGGAAAGGGACTGGCGTAAGTAAATCAGATGATTACATCCTTTTTTTATAGCTGCAATGAAACGAGACATGAATTTGACTGCGAATTTATGATTAATAGGAGAATAAAATACCTCGTCTCCAGATTCACTCCAGTAGATGAGCGAATTGCTATCACTCGTATTAAAGCGAAGTTTTTCTACATCAGTCTTATTTGTGCCCATGCTCCGACGGAAGACAAAAATGAAGAGACCAACGACATTTTTTACGAGCGCCTAGAAATTGCATATGACCGCTGCCCTGGTCATGTCCTTCTGCTAGGGGATTTAAATGCAAAAATCGGAAGGGAATAAATAAGGCAGAGGCCTACTCCGCTCAACTTACACACCTGCTTGACGAAAGCACTTCTTGTTCCGATAATAGTATAGAAGCACAATGGCATCGAATTGCTCACTCCCTACAAACTGCAGCAAAAGCAACACTTGGGTACCAAAAACCATCATCAAGAAAAACATGGTACGATCAGGAGTGTCGTAATGCTTCTGATGTGAAAAACGCGTAATGCGACGGAGAATTATCGGAAGAAAAGGAGAGTAGAAACGGATTTCCAGAAAGAACAAGAAAAACGTGAACATATCGAGATGTACTGGAGTCAAAATAAAGTCCGGAAATTTTACCAACGAGTAAAACACCAAACCGAAGCCATTGGCACAGACACATCTTCCTGTAGAGATAAAGAAGGAAACCTGGTGACAAATACAGATAGCGTGTTGAGGATTTGGAAGGAGCATTTTGAAAAGCTTCTGGTATCAAATAGTAGCGGTGAAGAAGATACCCCAGAACCAATAATAGATGACGGTATAGTGTGTATACCACCTAGCCAAGATGAGGTCAGAGTAGCAATTAATCAGCTGAAGAAGCAGCAGGTGTCGATGGATTACCAGCCGAAATATTTAAGACTGGTAATCAGATTCTGTTCATGAGGATCATGCACATGCTCATTTGTACAATTTGGCTAGAGGAATGTATGCCCAATGATTGGAACCTCAGCATCATGTGTCCCGTGCACAAAAAAGGAGACAAGGCGATATGTGCCAACTATAAAGGAATAAGTCTCCTTCCCATCGCACATAAAATGCTCTCCAGCGTGCTGTGTGAACGACTGAAGCCAATGGTCAATGACATTACTGACCATACCAATGCGGCTTCAGGCATATAAAGTGCTATCCAGTGTGGTGTGTGAACGACTGAAGCCTATGGTCAATGACATTATTGGACCCAAGGTCGGCCAGTAAGCAAAGGTGAGTATAAAGTTTGCTGTCAAATCATATTTTGAAACCTATATATACATACACAATTATGTTAGACGTCAAAACAAAAATATTAATATTTTTTCAACATTCAATTAAATTTCAATTTTTATCGTTTTTGTGAAGCACATTTGGACTATTTCAAGAGTTTCAAGAAGATTTTCAAGTAAATTATCCCACAAAATATAAATTGTGTTGTGTTTTGGCTGTGTTTTTATTTAAAGTCGAAAAAATTTGTTTTCGCCTCGGCAAAAAATTTTTACGACCTTATATAGGCCTTGTTTGGACCATACCAATGCGGCTTCAGGCCTGTCAAATCCACCATTGACCAGATATTCACTCTGCGCCAGATCCTGAAAAATACCCACGAAGACACATGCCACCTATTCGTCGACTATAAAGCCACATTCGACAGTCCTATCCGTTCAGAGGTGTTTAAAGCCATGACGTTTTGAATTCCTGCAATATTAATACAATACAATAAAAAAATATATCATGAAATAATATTGTATATTAGTTTTATTTACGATTACTTTTGAACCCATGTATTGTGCCATGTTTGAACCCACAAAGTAAATAAATCTGTAGAGTGTTTGTTCTGAATCAGAGTTATTTTTCCGACTCCACAACCCTCCACTGCGGTTGTTTGCAAAAAATCGACTTCAAATTTAGGTCGTTATAGTCAGCTGATTTAAGTTGACAAAAGAAAAGAATCAGCTGTTATTCCTTATCTATCATTGGGAACAAAAGCGAATGGCGAACAAACTAGTTCACATTGTTCCTTTAAGTGAACAGATCCACAATATTAGTCAGTTTGTTCCGGAACGACACAAGACTTTTAACGAAAATAAAGAGGAACAAAATATATATTTACGATTATTATTATTATTTATAAAACGACAAGAAGAAAATACATAGTTAAATATTTTAAAATATATTTAAAGTTTAAAAAATATTTCTATATATACGAGAACGAAGGCGATTGTTTTTTTTTCGGGCAAGTGTGTGGTCGTGAAAGTTGGTGATTATGCAGTAAACGAAAATACAATGGGCTGCGCCAAAAGCAGAAGCCAGCAAGTTCCATATAAAAAGTAACACATACGAGTATACAATTAATAATAAAAAACCATACAGACAAACAATAATAGTCAAAAGAATAATAATAATAAAAAATAAATTACTACACACATACATACATATGGTAGATGGTCGGTCATATGGGCAAAATATGCAAAGCAAAAACAATGTCACACGTACGTCATTGCTAGTGGCACACAAGTAATAATAAATAATGGTTGGTGCAAAACAAAACAACAAACACAACTGTTGCCGCCCGATTGCGCTATACTAACATCAACAACAAACAACGATAGCAGCAGGATCTAGTAGTAGGATCATATGTGAATGTGGATGCATTAATGGCATTTCTATATTTAAAATAAAAAACACAAGAAATTATTCGAACTTTGCACTGTCTGTTGTCTTGTCTGCAGCATTGTTTTTATTTATTTTTGTTGTTGTTGTTGTTGTGGCAATACACGAACGAGGCAACTAACAACAGCAGCAGTATTTTTATTATCGCCATCATCATCCACACAGCTCCATGTATATATATATATATAAATTGCTAGATAGCAAGCTTACTGTTTCCCTCCTCCGCCTCATCCATCCATTCGTACTATACAATTTTTGTTTTATCTATGTGTATAGATAGATTTCTTTTATATCTATATGTATGCATGCATGTTCATACGTACGTATGCACACAATATCACAAATTTATATGGATGGGGGGAAATATTATTAACTCTATGCACTCTCCCTCCGAACACTTCAATTGATCATCATCCCATCACCATTGTTGAGGCGTTGTTCGTTTGGTTTGGATCGGTTCATTCATTCAATAATGTACATAGTATTATGTGATGGTATGGTGTATGTCGTCTCTCTGTCAACCAACAACACAACAACAAAAATAAAATCGCATTTTGTATTTAGTTGTTGAACGTTTAACTAGTGTTTGCACGTACGTACAAATAAAAGTGGACACCTTTTACTTTGATTGATGGTGTATGAATCGGCGACGACGACGAATACGGACAATATCGCAGGGTAGTGGTGTATTGTTTATGGTGTGGTGGTGGTATGTATAATAAATAAATAGTTTATTTTGATTATATCGCCGTCTGTCTCTCATCTCAAGAAATCAAGATGTAAACATTGAGGTTCATCATCATGATCATCACCAGCAGCAACAACAAGAACATTTCTGCATTTACCAGTCAATTGTGAAGCAGAAGAGATCAGCTGCAATGATCGCCGCCAGTCTAAGTGTTTGCAAAAATTGTTCACCACAGAATTTTTAATTTTGTTTTTTCTTTTCAATTTGATAAACATGTAACGGTTGTTAAACAACGACAAAATATTTGGAAAACTAAATAGAACATAACAAAAAAAAAAAAAAAAAAATAACATAATTTTAAATTTAGCTTGCCCCAGTGATTGTGTGTGATAGTTCAAGTGGCTTAGTGAAGAATGCATTTGTCTGCAGACCGAGCAACAAACAAACAAATTCCATACATACCCACTCAATTTTTAAGAAAAATCTTACGGCTTTAGAGTGCTGTAAAGAATATTCTGTACATATAGAGGCATTCCTATATTAATCATATTGAAAGGTTATTGGACTTGAAACAAAAACCAAAAAGGAACTTCGATATAGAAAAAAACAGAAAGAAAAGGAAAAGTAAATACCCATGCATGATTTTAATTTTCATAATTAAATTGCAAATTGTGAGTAATATGTATGCATATATCTTATTGTATGACAATGATAATTAAATTATTATTTTATTATTTAGGAAGCAATTTCCACTTAATGGCTTGTAGAGGATAGGGATGCTCATTGAAAATTTGAGATGTTTTTATACCCTTCACCACACCGTGGTACAGGGTATCATGTCTTTGTGCATATTTTTCTGGCAGGCCAAAGGAAACGAGATAGACACATGGCTCCGAAAAATCTGTTCAGATTTAGATATATCTCCCATATATATTTTGGTCCGATTTAATGTAAATGGTGTACCAAAGTCAGTATTATCTTTCGATTTGCACAAAATTTGGCATAGCGTAATGAATTAGCTCTAGAATGATGTGCTTTAAGTTTCCTGAAAATCGGTCCAGATTTAGATATAGCTCCCATATATATTTTCATCCGATTTAATGTAAATGGTGTACCAAAGTCCCTATATATCATTCGATTTGCATAAAATTGATAGAATGATGTGTGGTAAGTTTCGTGAAAATCGGTTCAGAATGGAATGATGTGTGCTAAGTTTCGAGCAAATCGGTTTAGATTTAGATATAGCTGCCGTATATTTTCGTCCGATTTAATGTAAATGGTGCACCAAAGTCCCTATATATTCTTCGATTTGCACGAAATTCGGCATAACGTACTAAATTAAATTATGGGTGTCAAATTTCGTGAAAATCGGTTCAGATTTAGATACATATGTTCGTCCGATTTTAGCTAATTCGCATTCATTAAAAACAATAAATTATATAAGATATCAATTGGGTGTGAAAATTATAATATACCACATTAACATCATGTGTTATCCACATTACCTGCACTTTTTTTAAAATCACTTTTTATGGGATTTTAAATATTTTCTCAAATATCTCTTAAATTGTTAGAATAATATTATTTTCAAATTGATACATGGAAAGACAACACATGTAGCATGTTAAGTGCAAAATTTCAATTTAATCGGATAAAAAATAAAAATTTGGCAATCTAAAAACAAATGGGTATACCACATTTGCATCACCTCCTATAAATAGTGCACCAAAGTCCCTATATATCCTTCGATTTGCACGAAATTTGCGTACTGAATTGGGTCTAGAATCATACAAATTGTTCAGATTTCGATATAGCTTATTGAATGAAAGCAAAAATGTCGGAAATAGCTTCAAATTTTAGAATAAGTTTAGATTTGTTAGAATGGGTCACATTTTTGCGCGAATTATGGCCTTAAAACGGCCAATGAAACCATCACACGCTGCTCGATTGTTGCTCTGCGGTATATTTGGCCCATTCCCGGCGAAGCACTTGCTTGAGGTGATCGACACTTTGGTATTTTTTAGTGCCAACCATGCTTTCCAAAGTACTCCAGACGGAGATTTTGGTGGCCATTGTGCGCTGGAAATGAAGCGAGGAACCTCATTTTGTAACCCTTCTTGGATGGCGCGTCCACCATCGCACTCAGGATGGTCCTGTTGGAATGTCCAAGGTCCGCGGCCATATTGTTTGCGTGCCCAAGGCTTTAATACACCCTCTAGAATATTTTCGCGATAATATTCGGTATTTATTCTGATTATATTCGATTAATATGAGAGAAGAGCTACCATCGGCTTTTATAGCGGCCCACACCATCGCCATGGCCGGGGCTTGAGTTTTGGTGGCCAACCGAAGGTTCACATTTTCAGCTAACCTCTTGGCAAGTAAACACGATCATTTTGTTTGTTTACAAACTACTGGGCAACGAATGTTTTCTCATCGAAGAAAACCAAATTCGGCAGTTCACCACTATCGGCCATGCTCTTTAGCTCTTTTCAGTCTATTTTCTTTCTGTTCCATCACGAATAACTTTTTTCTGGAAAATTCTTACCAAAATGCTTTTGCATTGTTTACAAGCGTACGTAAACAATATAATGAGCTGTCACTGGAATAATTTCAACAGCTTTCGGACGAGTGGCTTAGAAATTACAGCAGTGTGAAGTTGGTTGCAGTTTTTTCATCTCACCCTGTATACATATATATTCGTCCGATTTTACATAAATGGTGCACCAAACTCCTAATGTTTGTCCGATTAACACGAATTTTTGCACAACGTATCAAATTGAGATTTGATTGACGTTAAACGGCATATACATTAGTAATATTTACAGGGTTAACCTACTTTATGAGGATTTATTTCATTATAAATACGTTTGTCCCATTGTACGCAAAGGGCTCTACATCTGCATGAATGAAACGAAATTTAACATAGGTTTCAGAATGGCATATGTACGGATTGATGTTAGTCGTTTGACATATATGTAGATAAATATCACATATTTAAGATCGTTCAATTTCATGTCAATGTTCCTTCGAAAAGGTGAAGTCTGTTAGGATACATATGTAGAATATACGACAGTGGTGAAGGGTATCATTTCATTTTTTTTTTTGGTATAATATACTATTGCCAAATTATAGATATCCCATGTTTAACGCATTTAAGCCTTTATAAATTTCAACTTAAAACGACTTAAAAATTTAAGAAATGCTCTTTGAAAATACATTTTATTCGCTCTACCTATTTCCTAAAAATTATTAAATAATTATCGATTGTATATGTATGTAGCTTTATATATTTATATGCATACGTCTGTACAAATATGTATACATATGTATTTGTAAATTGTTTACATTTTATGAAAGAAGACAATTTTCTTATCTTGAAAGAGAAATTGTAAATCCTCCCCCTCCACTAACCCTTTTTTCAAACAATTTTAATTAATGCAAATATCGTGCGGCGAGAAAGAACTATTTGGCGGACTGGCAGGCTGGCTCCATGCATATCATTTTTTGTTATAATATATGTTTTTTTTGTTACATCCCCGCTATCAGTTTAAATAAATCTTAACAGCTGTCTTTGTCCGTTACAACAAAAATGTTACATTTCATGATTATGGGATTTTCATTTCTGTTCTTGCTTGTTGTGGTTAATTTTAATTCTCTGTTCAAGAAGACTTGGCATTGCTTCAATTTTGAGATATTTTGAAGCATAGATTCGTTTATCATTTTATGTTTCCCTTAATTATGTTTATTCATGCATTCATTCAATAATGTGTAATAGGATAAGAGCTTCTTGTGTAAATAATTTAAATGGACAGCATGTTTATTTATATCGGAAAAAATATTAAATAATATTCTTATTTTGTTATGCACACACACACAAAAATCTACATAACAAAGTAAACACACAGCCACCAGCCTGATCTTAAGTGCAAAGTAATCTCAATAAATAAATATTCAAAAAATCATTTTGTCGTTGCTAGAAGGCAAATACTACAAATACAGTTTGAAAGTGCAAGCGGAAATATTTTTGTTTCTTAATTTTGTTATTAGAGTATTGTTGGAATGTCGGTAGATAACTACGCATAAAAAAAGAAATACGGCAAAAAAGTAGTAATTTTAATCAAAACATCTAAATTAATCATAGTGGACGAATTATATTGTAAAAATTCCAAATATCACATAAATATATCTGTCAATAATTATGAATCTGAAGAAAGGCTAGTAGACTTAGCGAAATAATTAAAAAGATGCCAAGCCTTGGTCGATTTGAACCCTAAATATTAACCAATAATTTGAAAAAAAAAAACTGTAAGGAACGTTCAATAGTCGGACGGGGTCGACTATATGATACCCTTCACCACTTTGGGTACATACAAGAGATGCTCATATGTACAATATCCTTTAGATAGAATAGACATAGCATCTTTGGAGGACCATTGAAATGGAATCGGACGAAATTAACTGCGTGAAGTGCATAGACATTTGAGCTAAATTTAAATCAACCCATACACATACCAATCTGAAAAAGGAAATGTCAATCATCGAGCAAAATATGTATTAGATCTATATATAAACGGACGTATTTGAGCAACCGTGGCCTCCACCATTTGGTATGCTGCAACACAGTGCGCTATCCAAAATTTATCTCGAGTGTGCACTAAGTCGTCCTAAGCGGACAAACTTTAGTTACTTGGTACATAATTTTGATGAAATCGTGAATATAGAACAGACAAAGAATTCTCAGTGCGCCATTTACATAAAATCAGACGAAAATATATATGAGAGCTATATCTAAACCGATTTAAACAAAACATCACGGACCTGCACCAATTTCAATACGGTTGACAACTTCAATACGCTATGCAAAATGTTGTCTTAATCGGACAAACATTGACAGTATGGTGCAGAACTTACATAAAATCGGAGAAAACTATATATGGGAGCTATACCTAAATCTGAACCGACTCAAAAAAAAAAAACTTCGCGTATATGAATTTGGACCTAATTCAGTACGCTGTACAAAATTCTTGTGCCAATCGGCCTAAATTTGACTTCTTTGTGCTCCATATACATACAATCGGACGAAACTATATATGGGAGCTATATCTAAATCTAAATCGACTCCAACAAAACTTCGCATACCCCAATCTGGACCTATTTCAATACTCTGTGTAAAATTTTGACTCAATCGAACCAATATTGGCAGTATAGTGCTCCATTTACTTAAAATCGGACGAAACTATATATGGGAGCTATATCTAAATTTGAACCGATTTCAACAAAACTTGGCATATAAAATCGGATGATAAATGCAATTTGTATTTTGTTCACAAAAATAGATGGACGGACGGACAGGCGGACATGCTTAAATGGACTCAGAAAGTGATTCTATGCTTATTCTCAAAAGGAACCATGGATCTATTTCGATTCTTTTTGCCTGTTACAAACATATGCACAAAGACATAATACCCTGTACCACAGGTTGGTGAAGGGTATAACAAGTGTTCGTTGTTCAAATTCCCTTCCCCTTGTGAATTATTGTGACTCTAGAGCGACGAGACAGTCTACTCAGCACCAACCCAATATGCAACATATAGGGGCATACGTTCCTGTTCCTTCTCCTGAATGTACAGGACAGAAATTTGATAGCCCCATGTTTTCCACAGTGAATGAGTATGACCCACCAGTTCACATAGACAGGCAACTCTCGGCCGATTATTCGCGGAGTATAAACGGAATAAAGGGTTTGAGTAAACTGTGGGCAACGGTTAAAACGGTCTCGAACCGTGCAACGAGACCGACGACAATTTCACCACACCGCCAAATAATCTGCTTAGTAATTTTATTTATTTCCTTCTCTTTTATTCCAATTAATATAAAGAATGTTGCATTTAGAGTAGGGATAGAAAAACCACCAACACACCCACCAGGTTGTCATTGGAATAATTAAATTATATATTAACAACTATCACACTCACATATAAATATTTATTTTACTCGCACTAATTACTGTAAAGCAATCAATAATCAATTATCTATTTTTTCATTTTATCTCCTTCTCATTTAGTTTCATAAAATATAAAAAGAAAATATTGGATCTTCCTTCTTCTTGTCGTTGCGCACCTCTATCTATATATAGTATAGTATTTAGACTTCATACTACATACATACCTCCTCCTCCCACTCCTACTACTACTACATCATATATACAAATAAATATATGATTTGTTAATAGCAAAATTATTAACATTTTCAAATTAAATTATTAGAATGGATACTACAACAACAAATTCAACAGCCAAACTGGGTAACTCGGAAGGTAGTCAGAAGCAAACGCAACAGCAAGACCAATTGGAACACACCCCAACAAAACCTGATACAAAAGACACACCACCAATGAAATCAACAGCTACAGATAATAGCATTATCTCGCCATGCTCATATTCAACGCCCCAAAAACCAAATGAACGGAACACAGCAGCAGGTGGAGGAGGAGGTGGTGGTGCTGGTGGACTTGGAAAGTCCTCTACCTCGATGGCCATGCAAAAATATAATCCAAATATGCGTTTCATACGGCAGCGTGTCGAAACTCCGGCACGCAACATCTCCACCAACTATTTGGAACTGGAAACTGAATTTCCCAGAGACTATGATGACAATATTGAAATGTTATCCCGCGAAGCGGAACATTTGGAGGAACAATTTCGCACACCGACACGCACAAGTGGTACCGACCTAAGTAGTACACAGTTATCGGCAAGTATAACTTGTCCCCGTAATACCAGTAAGACTGCTCATCAGATTGCCAAATCAAATCATAAGGAAATATCGATCACCGAAACAGATCATGCCAACAATTCGTTTGTGTGTGAAAAGAATGAGGTTAAACCTCCAGGTTTGGGTGCTGCCACTGGTGGTGGTGGTAATAAAAGTGCCAAAAGAGTAGGTTTTAAGGTAGAGGAGAAGCTTGAAAAACAAGTGGCGGAATGTAGTGTCATTGCCAAGGGCACATCCGAATTGACAAGTATTGAAAATGATAAAATTCAGGCAACGGCAACAGAAGCTGTTGTAACAAATGATGCCGTTGAAACGGCAGTTGTGGCCGAAGAACAAGCCCTATTGGCTTCGGATAATTTACAAACGGATGAACAGAAACCTAACAATGAAGTTCCTAAAATATCTACATCTTTGGCGCCAGTGGTGGCTGCCTTGGCGCCCACTCTTTCGTCAGCCATAAAAGATGATGATGACGAACCGGTGGGTGTTTCACCATGTGGTCGTTTCTTTAAATATGACAAGGAAGTCGGCAGAGGTAGTTTCAAAACTGTTTACCGGGGCTTGGACACCGAAACTGGTGTAGCTGTGGCCTGGTGTGAATTACTCGATAAACAAGTCAAGAAAAGTGAACGCAAAAGATTCCGTGAGGAAGCCGATATGCTGAAGAAGTTACAACATCCCAATATTGTGCGTTTCTATACCTATTGGGAATTTGGTGTGGCCCGCAAGAAAAACATTGTATTGGTCACAGAGCTGATGCTGTCCGGCACCCTGAAATCCTATTTGAAACGTTTCAAGAAAATCAATCCCAAAGTACTGAAATCTTGGTGTCGACAAATCCTCAAAGGTTTACACTTTTTACACACTAGACCCCTACCAATTATACATCGTGATTTGAAATGTGACAATATTTTTATTACCGGTACCACGGGTAGTGTAAAAATTGGCGATTTGGGTTTGGCCACACTGAAAAATCGTTCACATGCCCGTTCTGTGATAGGTACACCAGAATTTATGGCACCCGAAATGTACGAGGAGCACTACGACGAATCGGTGGATGTGTATGCCTTTGGTATGTGCATGTTGGAGATGGCTGTATCCGAATATCCCTACAGTGAATGTAAAGGCCCCGCCCAGATTTATAAAAAAGTGATATCTGGCATTAAGCCGGCGGCCTTAAGTAAAGTTGAAGATCCCAAGGTAAGGGAGATTATTGAAAAATGCATAGAACTGAGAAAGGAAGATCGCCCGAAATGTAAAGATTTATTAAATTCCGAGTTTTTTGAAGAGGATATTGGTATACGTGTAGAACCCACATCCACCGAGGCATTTCTCAATAATCCCGACAATAATGTTGTGGAGTTTCGTTTGCGATTTTTGGACCCCAAGAAACGCTCCTCCAAACACAAAGAAAACGAAGCCATCCAATTCGAATTCGATATTAAAAACGATGATTGTGAAAAGGTATGCAATGATATGATGCAGGAAAATATCATTAGCGAGGAAGATGCCCGTGCCATTGTACGTTTGCTAAAGGTCCAAGTATTTTCCTTGATTAAGGAAAGGGCCCAACGACAAACACAATTCCAACTGCAAAATGAAAAATCGCGATTGGAAAAAATTGCTCTGCAAAAGCAACGAGAAATGTTGCCGGCCAATATGGAGGAAGAGGAGGAGGAAGATGAAGTGGAATCGGAAGAAGATGAAGATGGTACAAAAGCGAATAGACATCATCATCAGCAGCAGCAGCAGCAGCAACAGCAACACCAGCAGTCGCAACCACTTCAGCTTATTGTGCCCACGATGCAATTACACAATGTGGAAGATATGAATCAGCAAGGACAACAACAGAATTATGTGCAATATGATGATCAAATGCTGCATCATCAGCAGCAGCAACAACAATCACAGCAGGGTATGTCGCCAACAGCAATGGTATCCCAGCCACCGCAATTTTATAGTCCAGCCCAGAATCCAGCCCAAATGTCACTGGCTTCGTCGCTGAATGCCATACTGCAACAGCCATCCAATCAGCAACATTACAGTCAACAGGCAAATCAGCAAACAACACAACAAGATTATTTGGTGCAACAACAGCAGCAGCAACAACATCAGAATCAACAGGCAATGTTACAACAAATGCAAGTGCAACCTCAAAATGGTCAAATGCAACAGCAGCAGCCGCAGCACCAACAACAGCAGTATCCCATTCAATATACAATGCAGCCACCGCAACAGCAACAACAACAATACACAATGCAAAATCAACAAATAATGCAACCACAGCAACAACAACAACAAAACTATAACCATCAGGATATAAATTGTCAACCGAATGTTGCGGGAAATGCTACAACAAATATGGGGTATGAACAGCAGCAGCAACAACAACAGCAGCCTATGCAAATACAGGAATATAATCAGCACATGTCGCAGCCGCAACAACAAATCCCTGCTCAAAGTTCCTCGGCAAATATTATTTACGAACAGCAACATCAGCAGCCTCAGTCGCAGCCAACACAAATGCAGGACTATATTCAACAACAACAACAGATGCAAAACAACTATGATGCTAACCAACAGCACAATATGAATCCTGCTGTACAACCTATATATGAAAATGGTACGAATTCTTGCCAACAACCACCGCAACAACAACAACAGCAACACCAACTACACAATGAACAGCCACAGCAACACCAAGTCGTTTTAAATGGCAACAATGATGCTGTGACACAACAACAAATACCCCAAGTAAATATTACTGGAGTGGAGAACAACATTAACAACAACACGAATGGTCAAATGGAACAACAACAGCACCAACACATCACAAATCATATGGAATCTAATTCCCATGATTATCTTATGACAAATCCTCCACCTGGCAATGATGGTCAAATGGATATGGGCTATACACAACAGCAACAGCAGGGTCATGATTCAAGCGGTCATAGTAATGCATCTTCTACTCCGGTGTCATCATCTACACCCACTGCTAGTTCCTCGTTTGATGATCACAAACGGCAAAATCATCAATATCCAGATTCATCGCGAAAGACCAGTACAGCATCGGAATATACATCACTCTCCTCGGATTATTCACCGGATAGTACAATAACAATGAACTCGGGTGGTTATCCTTCGGGTAGAAGTTCAAGTCAATATTTCGATTTAAATGAAAATGCTCCCGGCACCACAACAATGGGTGAAAATTTACACGAAAGAAGAAAAGATGATAGCGGTATTGGAAGTATTAAAAATGGTATTATTACGGAAAAGGTTTCACCTTTAAGGGAACTGCAAAATAATGCAAATCAAAATGAAATCAACAACACCAACAACAACAATGTGAATAATAACAATAACAATTCTAATAACAACACCCAAGCAAACTCGAACACAACCACAGCCGCCCCTATGGTTAGAAAAATATCCAGATTTTATGTAAACCCCGTTATTCTACCCAACAACAGTGTGGCTGTGGCAGCAACACCTCCCCCAGCTACAGCAGGTGCTACTGGACCGCCGGCGCCTACAACAACAACCAACAGCATTGAACCAATACCCGAACAAAATGATAATGAAATTGTCAATCAAACGGGTCCAGTCACAGTAACTGAAAATGGCACGGAATTAGGAAACAACAACACCACCAACACAACAACAAATGGTAATAACAACAATTCATTGGAACAATTGAAAATTGAATTGGAAAATATTACCCATGCCCAGGCATTTGCCTCAGCAATTGTGGCATCCATTAATAATGAAAATATTCAACAACAGCAGCAGCAGCAACAACAACAAAACTCCTGTCTAAGTCAAAATGAAGAGGACACCTCAACAACGGCACCATTAAGTTCAACACGTTCCTCCTCCACATACAATTCCAGGCGTACATCGTTGGACAACAGTGGTTGTAATGAACTGCAAAATGTGCTGACCAATATTATTGAGGGTAATGATGGCAACTCTGGACAGCAACCACAACAAGAAACTCAACCGAATCAACTAAATCCAGGAGACAATTCAACACAAAAAATCTCCAATACAAATGGTGTGGCAGAAATCAAAAATATTCTGCCACAATTACCAGCCTGTGGTAGTGTTGATTCGACCATAACCTCAAATGCGACACAAACAAAAACGGGAGGTTTGACACAAAATTCCATTGCCGATTTGGAAAAGAAATTGGCGGCCTTGAGAAATACTGAAACATCAACTAATGAGGATCAGCAACAACAACCACAACAGCAGCAAACCTCTGCCACAACCAACACATCCAACACCGAACCCATAACAACTGTTGCCCAAAAGGCAATGGAAAAAGAACCTGGATCACGTAAAGTATCAAGATTTTGTGTTAGTCGTGTCCAGGAACAGAAATCCCAAGAGCAACAGCAACAACAACAAAATAAAGACACAAATAAAGCGGTAACAGCAACAGCAGCAACACCTACTGCCGCCGTGGAAGCCACACAGATACGTCAGGAACAACCCCCAACACCCGTTGTACAACATCCCAAACCACCCGAACATCCGAAACCTAAACGAAAATCCAATGATGCCTCCATTGAACATTTGTTACCCGCCGTGCAATATCAACATCAAATGGCCCTGGGAGCGGTCAACGTTAAACCGCCGCCAACTTCAGCTGCAGTAGTTCTTCCTCTGCAAGACCCTGTTGCTGCCCAGGCACCAGCAGCGCCCCAGGTTATCTACAACCCACCCACACATGTTGCTGTACAATTGCAACAACATATCCAACAACAAATTCAAAGGACTGCAGCCATACAACATCAGATACAAAATGCTGCAGCAGTTGCTGCGGGGGGTCAGATGTTAGTGCCAACGAATTTACCCCTGACCACAATTCAACAGCCCATACTGGCAGCTGCAAAACCGGCAATTTTGCAAACTGTTGCCGCCCAACAGCCCATGCAGCAACAACAGCAGCAGCCGCCGCAAACTCAAGCACAACAACAACAGCAAATGGCATTGCAGCAATTAATGGTTCAGAATATGCAGAATGATAAACAGCTGCAACATCAACAACAGTTACAACAACATCAACAGCAGCAGCAACAACAGCAACAGATTCAACAGCAATTCCTAAATAATCAAGTTTTACAAACCCAACAACATACTGTACAACCGACAGTACAACAACATCAACAGCTAGGCATGCCGTTTATAACGGCCCCAGTTGTACAGCAACAACAACAACCCAATAATCTTTTGCAACCCTACCAATACACCACAAATGGTCCAATGGTCCCCAGTACCGTGCCACCTCATATGGGCAATGAATTGGTCGAGGCCAACCCGGCGGCCCGTTTACCAGCAATACCACAACAAGAGGAACCCATGTCTCTGGCAGCCACCCATCCCAACCTATTACCCACCGTCATTCAATCGGACATCAAACACAATTTGGACTCACTTGTGAGTCAACTGTGCAACCTGCGTTTGGGTACAAATCAACATCAACGTTTACTGCTTCTGCGTCAACGACAACTTATCGAAGAGGATGAGTTGCGTCTCAAACACTATGTGGAATATGAAAAGTTTCAAAAAGCCATGCGACAGGCTAACGATGCTCACACAGCAGCAGCACCACCAACACAACAACAACAATATCTTTATATACAACCCACCGCCATCAATCAGCAGGGTTATATAAATTTTGGTAATTCCCTGGTGCCATCGCTGAACCACACCCCCGCTGCGGCAACCGCGGCTCCTATAGCAGCTGTACCACAGCAGCAACAAATCATAAGTGCCAATACCCAAACAACAGCTGTCTCGGCTTCAGTCCAGGGCTATGCTGTAATGTTAAATCCCCAGTTAAATATGCAGGCAACACAGCCCCAACAACAGGCCACCGCCACAGCTATACAAATGCAGACAACAAAAATGCAACAAATACATCATCAGCAACAACAATTTATTCCACAACAGACCACCACAATAACCGATTTGACGCAAATCAATCAACCCATGCAACAACTGCAATTACAGCAGCAACAACAACATCCGCAAATCCAACACCAGCCAATCCAGCAACAGCAGCCGCTGCAGCAACCTCAACAACAGCAGCAGCAACATCAACAACAACAACATCAATTCCATCAACAGTTGCAACAGCATCAACAACAACAGCAACACATACACCAACAACAACAGCAACAATTACATCACCAACAACAGTTACAGCAGCAACAACATCAACACCAGCAACAACAATTGCATCAACAACAACAATTACTGCTGCAACAACAGCAACAGCTCAATCACCTGCAAGCCATGCAGGCGATACAGCCAAACGTCGTTGGTCCCGCCGCCTTGTTGACACTTCCTAACACCGCTCCTCCATCCCTTCCCCAGCCATCCAAACAGACTGAAATGATGCCAACCGATATTGCCACACTTCAAAAGAGTGACAATATCAACAACAATAACAACACCACCAATAACGCACAACAGCAACAACAACAAGTCCAATAACCGATAGTAGTCTTGTCGGTCTTCTACTATCCGTATACGATGGGATAATCAGTTCTAAACGCACTAAAATTAAGCAACATATTTATGTAATAATGTATAAAAAAGATTATGTATGTAAAAAACAAATAAAACAAACAACAACGCAAAAACAAAACACGTTAACTATATAATAATAAATAAAAAACAACTATTTCAACTTGTATGTATGTATATTTATGCAAAAAAAGGAATATTTTAAACGAAAATATATCATTGATGTTTTATTTATGTCGCAAAAATGGCAGAGAGTTATGTTGGAACACAAAGTATATTGGTAAGCAACGAAATGGGAAACGAAATGGGCAGACTGGTCCCAGGATGCGATGCTAATGCTTACCATTTCTACAGGGGAAGCAGCGATACAAACACCAGAGGTGAGTCTGTTTTCAAAGTTATTCTTGAATTTAATCTAAAAATATGTAATAGGGGCAATACAGCTACTTTTGTAAACAACGTGAAGGGTGAAGTGATAGACATCACCCTCAAAAACATGGACTCCTCTGAGGTTGGAAATTGGGAAGTATCGGAAAAGTGTTCCTTTTCGGATCACAGGTTGATATTTTTTAATGTCTTCAACGACGGAGTAAAACAGAAACCCTAGGAGAACAAATTGGAACTGATTTAGAGCTGGAACATCATCGGGAATCGAGGGTCGCTGCGACCTTCGTACGACCAAAGATGTTGAAAGAGCGGTGAAAAAGGTGACGAATGCTCTCCTATGTTGCTATGAGAATTCTTATCCAAATACCTATACTGGGATAAAATCTCAGCCGGTGTGGTGGACCAAGGAACTTGCAATCCTTCGTAAAATTGCAAGAAAATCTTACAACAAGGCTAGTAAATCAAAACTACTTACTGATTGAAATGCTTTTTATTCCCAAAGCGGGAAAGCCCAGCCACAGACTTCCTAAGGATTACAGACGGATTAGTCTCTCTTCCTTTCTATTGAAATCAATGGAAAGCTTACTGGACCTGGAAATAAGAACAAAAAAATCGGTAATTCACAACACGTTTACATCATAGGCAAATCAGTCGATACAGCCCTACACGAAGTGGTTAGATGCATCGAGAAAAACTTGAATAACTCTGACTTTACAGTAGCATCCTGTTAAGCTGAAATCTATCCAGCAAGCTGTCGTAAACACAAGAATCTCCTCTACTCTGGTGGATTGGGTTGATGTTATGCTAAGATGAACAACAAATGTAGCGTTTTTCAGGCAGAAATTTTAGCAATCAGAAGGCTGCGTAATTGGTCAAAGAATTATGGCGCAATGATCTTGGACCAGTGACTATATTTGTCGATAGTCATGCGGCTCTACAGGCTATAAATTCGCGGACTATAAATTCTAGGGCGGTTCGAGAATGTAGAGAAATGTTGCTAGATGTCCGTCTCTTTGTTGGACTTTATTGTGTTCCCGGACATAGCGACATAATAGGGAAAGAAATAGCTGACGAGTTTGCTCGTACTGGATCGCCGTCGATCAACATACAAGATGATGCTACTGTTAAACCACCTCTCTGGTATTACATAGGTAGTATCCATAAGATCTTTTACAGAATGCGGGACGCAGATGGCGGGAGGAAACCTCATGTAAAACCTATATATCCATCTGGTCTAGTTCTGGCGTAGTCATATGTGATTCCACCACTTTTGAACGTTGCACTTCTTAACCACAGAAAATCCAACTGGCATGTATTCGGAGAATTTACCAATATTTACCATTGCTTAAGAGAATTTCCCATCCTTTTTGATGTAGATTATATATATTTCCCCAGCAAGAGAAATATGGCTAGATAATGAACATGATGATACACTTACTATTGAGGTCAGCAGATTAGTCGTAGAGCATACGAGAACAGGTACGAGTAAACTTTACGGAACGGTTAAGACGCTCTCGAATCCTCTATAAACAGATAGCCTGATTTCATCATATCTGAATGCCGCACTTCTTTTAATCATAGAAAATTAAACTGGCAAGAATTTATAGAATTTACCAACCATTACTTTAAATAATTGTCGTATAGTTTTAATGTCCGGCTTTACAAATAACAATAGCGGTACCTGAATCGTTAGAACATCGAAATAAGTGGTTGGAACATCTGAAGTGTATTCAACCGACGTTCAGCCTTATTGCCAGTCAATGACAGCCAAGCCAAGATAAGGCCATAATAGCAATTATTCGGCTCAAGAACAATAAAGCAGCAGGAGCCGATGGATTACCAGCCGAACTATTCAAGGCTGGTGGTCACATGCTGGTCAGGAGCATGCACCAGCTGATTAATACAATTTGGCTAGAGGATGCATGACAATGATTGGAAACTCAGCATCCTGTGTCCAGTGCACAAAAAGGATACAAGGCGATATGTACCAACTACAGAGGAATTAGTCTTCTTCCCATCGCATATAAAGTGGTATACAGTGTGCTGTGTGAACGACTGAAGCTAATGGTCAATGACATTATTGGAACATACCAATGCGGCTTCAGACCTGCCAAATCCACCATTGTCCAGATTTTCACTCTGTGCCAAATCCTGGAAAAAACACACGAAAAATACATCGACACATTCCGCCTATTCGTCGACAATAAAGCCCCATTCGACAGCCCTATCCGTTCAGAGGTGTTTAATGCATTCCCTACGTTCGGCATTCCTGCAAAAATAATACGGCTATGCAGGATAGCCTTAAGTGGCACAAGGTCAGCAGTTAAAGTCGGAAAGGACCTATCGGAGTCCTTCAATGCCGAACGAGGATTCAGGCAAGGTTTCAGTTTGTCGTGTGATCTTTTTAACATCCTGCTGGAAAAGGTCTTACGAGACGCAAAGGTGAGCAGAAATGACACTCGATACACCAAACAACACATATTACTCGCCTTCGCCGATGACATCGATATAATGGGTCGAACATTGGAAGCGGTAACAGCCACCTTTGAACAAATTGAGAAGGAGTCTGCCAAAGTGGGTCTGGCAGTAAATGGCGAGAAGACCAAGCTTATGGTATCAACACGCAAGACGTTCATTAGACTCGGACCAACTATGGAACTTGAGAACTACAGCTTCGATATAGTTAAAGATTTTATATACCTTGGTAGCGCCATAAATAAAACGAATGACATCAGTTTTGAAATTCGGAGAAGGATAGTGTAGGCCAACAAATGCTACTATGGTCTAAGTAAGCCGTTTAGAAACAAGGTCACCTCTCGCCAGACCAAACTCACACTATACAAGACGCTGATATTACCCGTGCTGTTGTATGGATCTGAAGCATGGGTACTTGCGCAAGCAGATGAGGCAGCTCATGGAGTGTTTGAGAGAAAAATTCTCCGGAAGATCTATGGGCCCAGCTCAAAAGGCATATAAAAGTGAGCCTACTGATGGTTCACGCCAAAGGGGAAGGCCACGAATTAGATGGAAAATTCAAGTAGAACACAATATCTCGGAAAATGGTCTTTCAAATTAAATGAGATGCGCCCAAGAAGAGCCTGGAAATCTTTTTTAACCCTTTCAGTGTCAAAAAAAAAATGTCAGAATAAAAATCTAAAATTTTGTATTTAAGGTGAAATAAAGGCGCAGAGTTTAGAAAAAAAGCAATTTCAGTAGTGTTGGCGGTTTATTTGGGATACCATTTGTATTTTGTTTTTGCAAAATAGTCAGGCTGAATCCCAGTTTGTTGTTTTTATAAAAAACAACTATTTATTAGTGGGGAATGTATGGCATTGTTTGCCGAGGGGTAAGGCTTTGTTACAAGAGACATTTGGGTATGAAAGGTTTTTTGTATAGAAGCAATAGCTTCTGGGGAGAATGTCCTAACAAAAAACTAAGGGAACTGATGAGGATCAGTGGCGTGATCCGAAACTATAGTCTTCCCTGCCTTACCCCTCGGCAAACAATGCCATACATTCCCCACTAATAAATAGTTGTTTTTTTATAAAAACAACAAACTGGGATTCAGCCTGACTATTTTGCAAAAACAAAATACAAATGGTATCCCAAATAAACCGCCAACACTACTGAAGTTGTAGACGCAGGCACGGTTAAACTGTTTGGTTTGTTGCTGTACACTAGCAACACCAACAAAGTCGGCTTCACAAAATTCATTGAGGACTCCTTAAGTCCTATGCCGCCACCCGTATGTGCCAGAAAGGGTGAGAAGATTTTCCGAGAAATTATTCAAAAAGCGGCTAAACGCTTTATTCCTGCGGGCAGAATTCCTCTAATGAGACCAAATTATCCATCCAGGGCATCCAGATTGGCACAGCAACGCGACCAACTCCGTGCCGAAAGCCCCGCTGACGATAGAATTCCGCAGCTTAGCGCTGAAATAGATGCTCTAGTCCTTGAGCACAGGCGCTCTAAATGGTTAGAACACCTTAACCACTGCAACATAAATTCCAAGCAGCTATGGTCCACAATTAAGAGTCTATATGGTTCCAAAAGAAATAAAAATCTCCCTGCTATTTCCTTCGATAACATTCAACATTCCGATGCCAAAAAATGTGCAATGCTGTTCTGCCGCCAATTCATTGAGCATCCATCTTCGCAGAACAGGACCAAGCGAGCAGTTATCCGGAGATCCAAGAATCTTAAAAGAGACTTGCAGCCACTATCGTTTACATCCAGCGAGGTAGAGGCAATTATCTCCAAATCCAAACCATCCAAAGCCCTTGGTCCAGACGGCATATCCATTTTCATGTTAAAGAAGCTTGGAGCTAGGGCTGGGCTATCTGACCAAAGTCCTCGAGTTATCGATGTCACAGTTGGTAATTCCTGACATTTGGAAAGTTGCCCGGATTATTCCAATCCTAAAAGCTGATAAATC